GTAAATAGTGAGTAAATAAATATTGTACGAGTTAAAACTAAATTAGAAATACGCTAACATCGCTTGAACTACAGTACTCTTTTCGCCCAACTTCCCACTTTATATTCGACCGCTTATAGCGTAAAGCTAACCCCAGGAACAGCCTGTTACACAAATTCTGTGAAAAAGACATAACCCTGGGGTCAGTCCGATTAGAATAAGATCTTAGTTTATTTTGATGATTTTTTTTTTCATATATTTATTTTATTATTTATGAGTAGTTAGTTTATTGTAAGTTTAAGTTTTAGTAATCACCCAAAAGATGTTAAAATGGCGATATTTCAATAATATTTAATATAATAACTAACAAATACAAAAATTGTTTATAACAGACGATGTTTACTGTAGACTGTAACTCTAGAATACCGGTGTGTTCTAGACTAAAAATGGAAATTAATAATAACAATGATAAAATTGACTTATTCAATTAATATGAATTGGTTTTAACATCCTAGTCCAAATTCAGTCACTAAACGGGATTAATTTAAAATATTAAACTTACTTTTTTTCTGAAGATTGTTTTGGTGAAATCAATGCTATCAGGGAATAACACAACAAACCTACTAAGTGTATCTGATGCTATGGAAATTGACAGTCATCGCGGTTCTTGGATTATGCCACATTTCTATGCTAATTCAATGCCAATTTCAATGTTTCCAAGGTATCGGATAAACGCAAAGCATACTGGGAAAGATACTGTTTTCTGTGTTTGCTGAAGCGAGAGGGCCTCGTAACTTTCTTTTCTTTTTCGGAGTACCCATGTGTTTTGCATTCTAAAGTGGCAAAGCGACATAGACAGGGTGAGAGTTGTTGAACTGTGTAAAGGTCGTCTATCTCTGTTCCACTGGCTCACGTAGTTATGGTAACCCATCGTCATGTCAACAAATTCTTCCTATAGTATGACGTCATATGTTTACATTTTTGCCAACCAGCATGCCAATGTGTGATAGCAAATGTAACCTGATCTGATGAAAGTCTAACGCTGATCATGGAAGGTACTCCATGCGCTGATCATGGAAGGTACTCCATGCGCTGATCATGGAAGGTACTCCATGCGCTGATCATGGAAGGTACTCCATGCGCTGATCATGGAAGGTACTTCATGCGCTGATCATGGAAGGTACTCAATGCGCTGATCATGGAAGGTACTCAATGCGCTGATCATGGAAGGTACTCCATGCGCTGATCATGGAAGGTACTCAATGCGCTGATCATGGAAGGTACTCCATGCGCTGATCATGGAAGGTACTCCATGCGCTGATCATGGAAGGTACTCCATGCGCTGATCATGGAAGGTACTCCATGCGCTGATCATGGAAGGTACTTCATGCGCTGATCATGGAAGGTACTTCATGCGCTGATCATGGAAGGTACTTCATGCGCTGATCATGGAAGGTACTTCATGCGCTGATCATGGAAGGTACTTCATGCGCTGATCATGGAAGGTACTCCATGCGCTGATCATGGAAGGTACTCCATGCGCTGATCATGGAAGGTACTCCATGCGCTGATCATGGAAGGTACTCCATGCGCTGATCATGGAAGGTACTTCATGCGCTGATCATGGAAGGTACTTCATGCGCTGATCATGGAAGGTACTTCATGCGCTGATCATGGAAGGTACTTCATGCGCTGATCATGGAAGGTACTTCATGCGCTGATCATGGAAGGTACTACATGCGCTGATCATGGAAGGTACTCAATGCGCTGATCATAGAAGGTACTCCATGCGCTCATCAACACAGGCTGGCAATCTGAAAATTTTGCTCATAAATTGAAGACCTCTGATTCTGTTTGTAGATGCACCCGTTTATTATGACGTCAATTCTCTTTCGTCATAACATAGTTCAATTACCCCCAATAAAACCGCAAATAACTCTCGTAAAACACTCCCTAGTGATTCGCGGCGTTCTCCCAGTACAGTCACGAGCGTGTTTATTACGCTCTAACTTAAACAAACGACACATTTCGCTAGATGACGCACTGGCATTGGTTCTTCACAGAATACTACATATAACCGGTGAACAAACATTCTCTCCCATCCGATTTTGTTTTGTGACAAGAAAAAAAAATAGAGTATGCGGACATTGATAGCCTAGTGTTGGTGGAATTAAAGGTTTAGTGAATGCACCAATTCCAATAAAACTAATTTCAATAAAATTCAACTTATACTCCCCCTTGATGGAGCAAATCGTTAAACATGTTAGACAGCTTAGGTGAGATCAAATGACAGAAGAAGCAACTTGTGATAGACATGCGTGTTTATTTAATCAAGAATGCTGTATAAACGTTTGCAGGTGGTGCGTGGAACATGACAAATTATAAGAATTTGAAATAAATTCTAATGTCTGTAACGAAAAACTTCTATCTGGTCTTTTTGCAATTGATAGTGCTTTCAATTATCGTTTTCCTAATGTCTCAGAGTTCCCAAGCGACCGCGATGAACATTTGTTAAATTACTCGGGAGATACTCAAATTGGTTGTCATTCAACTGTCCACGTGCAACTGAATCATTCGTTAGACAAGAATTATAGAAAATGATAATCGTAGTCTTGGTAATTATTCAATATAAATGAAAATTACCAAGGACTGCGATTAGTATTTTTTATATATTATATTTACCATCTTAGCAGGCTTCACTAACTTTAACATCTGTTGTAAGTCAGCATGGCGAGATAATGTCATATCTTACTCGTAACCTTATTTTTTTATTTTGATTGTTCAACTTTTTGCGATATTTTTAAATAAAGACGCATTGCTTCCCTGTTTAAATGACCTGGTAATATTATTGATTTGACAAAGTACATACCAATTTCAGTTTCACTTCCCATCACAACAATTATCGAAACATGAATATGCAACTTTGAACACTTGTGCATATAAGAGTAAGGATATAAGAGTAAGAGCATCAAGATATTTTAATTTTAAAATTAATATGTAAAAGTGAAGTATTTTTGTACTCACTAAAATCAATTTGACGATAAATGCTTTTGTATTTATCCCATAATAAACAACATCTGTGCTTTAAAATCACCATCAAGTTTTCATGGAGAAAACATTTTTAGAATTTCAAATAGTGATTTCGTGTCGCACCGCGTCTCGTAACTCATAGCGACGACCACCACCCTTTAATGAACTGATTGTTTTGAGACGAGGTCCTATAAGAGTTCGAGGTGCACAAAACTCGTCCATTAATTTACGATAGTAAGAGTACTCTAACAAACTTATACCGCGAGTTGGGGAGTTGTTGGTGTTGTTTCCCTGTAGCGTCCCAGTCGCGCGAGTTAGGTAACCCTCTTTTGTACCATTGACGTATCATAGTGAACTACACGTTACATTTGACGACAACTATCCTGCTTAGCGAATCCGTTAGTCAAAGAGTTACCATGCGTCCTCATACAACTACACGGAAATCAATGCTTCGTGTCCAGCTCTGAAAAAAAATCAATTTTAAACAGTGATGATTAATTAAAGTATATTCTCCACTTGTAAGAACAAAACAGTTTATTAGTAAACCGACGCGGACTGTTCAGAAAAACAAACAAGTACTTTTCTAGTAAATGTTGCTTGTCTTGGACTCCTACTAGTCCTAGGTGCAAAATCAGTCCTTTATCAACCTCTAACTATCAGTTAGCGTATATTCAGTGAGTAACATTGTTGCCATTGCTTGATATCGGCATATTGACAAATTAGCAAACAAATTACGTAATGTAAACATCAATTCTCGGGGGAGAATATCCGGGAAAAAAGGTAGAAAACTCTAAGAAAACTGTACTTTTGGATAGTGTTGAAACTCTCTAGAACAGTGTACACGTTCTTTGTATGTGCAACATCTATTAATTTGGTTGTTCATGACTGCCCTTGAGTTGAGTTGAGTTTGTGTTGTCTGCTCTATATTAATTGCTTTCACCGGCTCATCGACCGGCGTTCCACAGCAGCTCACACAGTGCTCATAGAAATACATGGTGCAGTAGTGCGCCTCCAAGAAAGATAGAACGCTCGCTGACGTAGGCCCGCCCCGAAATGGGCTGTAGTTCCACAGAAATTTTCAAGGCAGATCATAAAGAAGAGCTATTTATGTTTGCCATGTTGCGCGATGTGTTGTTATGTAACCCCCGCTGCTGTATATTACAAAGGATCGGTAATTACCGTTCATTTGACCCATAACCCAATGCTTAACCAATACAGATGAACCAAATTACACAAATTCATATTGAGACCATTTATTGATTGAGAAGATAAAGACATATCCACGTTACAATAATATTGTCATTACAAGAAAACACATATTCAGCGAAGATGACAAGTGCAAACTGTTCAATACGTACCAGTTCAGGTGAAATGCCGTGTTATAAGCTGAATCATATATGATACAGTACGATTGATTATTGCAAATGGCAATGGATTGGCACTAAATCCATAAGCTATTAACAGATTTTAGTAAAATCATGTACTCTGGCACAGGGAATACCATAATTTATACTGTTTATATTATAATTCGATCGTCGGCAGGATGTGATTAAACTACCCGTTATGTCGATGAACTCCAAATACTTACATTGAGTCAGAATAATTGTATTTCGTAAGCTACATGAACACGACAATGTGTGAGTACCCAATCAGATCGAACAGAGAATATACGAGAATATTTACATATATACAATTGCTAACAATTTGTGTAACACTACTGTTTAACTTTTGTGTAGTACAATGATAGACTTGTAAGTCTGCATTTCCTCTATAATTCCAGAACATCGCTATTCACTGGGAGAATTACATTGCAGTGTAAGTGTAATGGAGGCAGTACTCACTAGTTTTATAGTGTTTGTAATTAATTTCCTACCACACCATTGCATAACTGTTCGATATAATGGAATAGTGAGTGTTGGTTACTATAATTATACAATAGTATTATAATTAATATGTCAATTTCATTTTGATAAAATTAATGCAGGAAAATGTCAAATGGAAGTTTCTTCAAGCGGTTTTCTTGCGTCATTATTGACCTTTCTGCCATTACCATGACGACTGTACACAACAGTGGTGTGATATTTGTCAAACTTCTTACTGCCATCCGTTATATGAAATATTCTTTTGAAGTATCGTCTAAAGTTGTTTCCCGTGAACGCGTACACAAATGGGTTGACACAGGAGTTGGAGTACGCGAGACAAAGGCAAAATATTCTAAAATATGCCAGAGGCACTGATTCAAATGGGTAATTCCCCATATCAAATCGTAGCCAAGAGTTGACGGCCTGGATGGGACCCCACGAAACCGCAAACAAAAGAACAACGATGAGTACAGTGCGAGTCACTTTTTTCTTTCGGTTCATTGTCTGTTTCGCAAGACCATCGTCATATATAATTAAAGATTGTACTTTCCACACTTGTTTTAAAATAAATGCATAGCAGATAGCAATAATGAACAGCGGCAGTAGATACAGCATTACTAAACTATACGCCTGGTAGATAGTTGACGACAGCACAGACGGGAACAACTCCGTACATATAGTCATAGTCCCTTCCTTATACACCTGGAAATACATGGCTATTGGAACGTGTAATAAAAAAGAACCTGCAAAGAACAATACACAACTATTTAAACGTGGTCAATGAGTAGGTTCTAAATGAATAAGATTGTGTAGTTTATGAAAAGTCTGGGATTGCTGTGATCGTGAAGCAAATTTGCATAAGACGTGTGTCTAACAGTTTTGTCTGTATGATGTTTGACCACAGCCACGTGAGTAAGACGTTCGGTCCCATAGGTATAGTAGTGTTTACGTACATACATCGAGAGCGTTTCTGGCACGAAAAACAAACTGACCTCATAACATTAACGATGAAAAAGTTAGTCTAATAATGAAAAAATATATATAAATTTCAAATCGAATTGTACTGATATGTTTCAATAGCGATGAACAAAAAATAGCTTCGACGGGATGGAAAACGTTTACTTTTGACTTTTGAAATGGGCAGCAAAGCGCAAACAGCAACAGGATACAGTGATCAGCTGAGCATGCTTCGCGGAAAGGCGTATCCCGCACTGTTTCAGATTTGGTCCCATTCACACCTTTGAACAATAGCCGTTTCCAGACCGGTCTATAGAGGGTCTGTGTAGGTAATCTCATATGTTTACATATCGGATAGACCCAATTGCGTTCACGCATAGTACGAAACGTTTTTAGCATGGGATAAGGAACGCCCAATCTTGCTATGAATACACAAAAATCTTCAGTCATTTTAATTATGATTACAAAGTACAGTAACTAGGAAAGTATATGTTTTAGTTCTACGGTTATAAAACAATACCAAAGCAAATTCAGACAGATCGGATTGCAGAATAACAAGTAGCACGGAGTCGCATCGTCAGTTCATCTTTTCTCGAGATCAATATCTCTTAACGTGATCACGTTGATTGACATGTCGGAAATTGCATACCGAAATGAATAATTATGAATATAATAGTAAATCTTCAAAATTAACATTTAAGTTAAGCTTTCGCGCACACTCGTTAGCCCGTTCTAAGGATCCGGACCAGGTCTTAAAACAGGCCAGATTTAATCCGTACTTAGTGTTCTTAGTTCGTGCTAAGAAAACGTGTGTAAAAGCTTAGCACGGGCTATTTGACATCTTAGCACGTGCTAGGGAGCTGTTCGTAAACTCTACTATTGTGTGTATGACGTGCGACCTAGTAATATATGCCCCCCCCCCAACTACAGAATGTGACGTGTGTTCCCAAAGCTAGGTCAGTTCACATTGCTGTAAGTACGACGTGTATCCCCTATGACGTGTATACTCACCTATCCAAATAAGGACATTAACAATGATTGCCATTTTCGGTGTACGATCATGCCTTGAGCGGATTGGTCGACTAATAACGTAGTACCTATCCACTGTCATAGCTGTTAATGTTGCACATGTCGCTTGTACAGACACCTGTAAATAAATGTCGTAATTTTTTTGAGTATGGCTGTTATAATTACGTATAATTACGACACAGTGTTTCTGTCGCTTTATTTTAATAATGTCGCGTTAGAGCAAGGAACTATGAGCCGCAAATCTGACACCACACAAAGGTTACAATTAGAAAACTTTTAAAAAGTGATAATACACCAATCAAAATAAAATAGTGCAAACTGTAAGGAGAAATTAATTAATGCCCACGACATATACAAATATACAATAATTACACAATATGTTAACAAATTTTTAGCACACTATATTGCCAAACAGACGTCTCATATCATTTACAAGTTTATACATGCATCCTAGTTTAGAGACGATAAGATCGAGTCACCTAACAAACTCGTATATAAACTACATTCCTTTGCACATATAATGAGATAGTGACGTGTAGACTCCATAGGTGATTGGTGTGGACATAGTAAGTGAACCTGAACTTATAGACACCGCAGATTGGGTGTGGACATAGTAAGTGAACTTGAACTTATAGACTCCACAGGTTGGGTGTGGACATGTAAGTGAAATTGAACTTGTAGGCTCCAAAGTTTGGATGTGGACATAGTAAGTGAAGAGTATTGTGTAATCCCTATAGTTGGGTGGTCAACATAAATTAGAATGTGTATTTTCAGTGTAAATATAGCGAATGAGCTAGAACGTGTAGACTTAATACGTTGGGTGTGGACATTGTAAACAAACTGAAACTCGCAGACCACATATGTTGGGATGTGTTTATTCGTTGTAGTAGTAGTTTTATGCGTAAATAAATAAGTTATTCATATATGATTATACAATCGTATGACAAAACATATAATTTAATCATCAGCAACAAAACGCAAGTTTTTTTTTTAGATTTTCTTGAACGTTGTGACACGTTCACTTAAATTAATACGTTATCAATCAATACAATGTCGGGGTCAATATACAAAGCATGCAAAGATAAGCAAGTCTGTAAAAAGGTGTCTTTATAGGCACGATTTTCACAGAGAAAACGTTACGTTCATATTAATCGTCTATCGTCCATATATCACTCATTGTCCTTTTGCCGAACGCGCGACAATATGTGACACTTGAGGGCGCACTACCATAAATGTTTCTGAAAAAGGCCAAACACTACAATTGCACATAAATCAAACGCAGTTTATTAAATAAAATATAACACAGTATGACGTAGATGTGTTGACCTAGCTGAGTATTTTGTACCTGACAAATGCCCAACACACACGTGTAACGCTTGGTTGTTCTTGTATTGGACTTAATAACAGCCTATTAGACATTGTATTTCTTGTAAACACTTGTTTTAAACATAAAGGGGTGACACTCATGTGTGCCTGAATGCCTATATAATCTAAAAACTGTTCATGTTCAATAGAAACAACCATATATCTCATGGAACACCATATGTATACTATGTATTCCGTGGAGCGGCAGGTAAACTCTCCTTCCTTATTAATAGATCACAATGTATTCGATACAAATGACATGTGTCCAGTCTTCTAAATGTTAATGCACACTTGGACCAATATATTCACAATCATATGAAAGTATAATCATTGGTGCTCATTAATTTGTAAGTGTTTTATTTTTTAATATATGTCGGATGGCTTCGCGAGAACAGTTGGAGTAATAATACATAATATTCGAGTCATAATATTTCAGTTCGATATATAGCTTAGAGTACATGTCCTGCCTTTCATGTATCGATGTGCGTTCATGTTTGTGCATTCGTCATATCTAGTTGTTCGCAAGACTGCAAATTCCCTATTTTGACGAACAAACGGATTTTAGAACTTCGGCTTCGTAAAGCTGAAAATTGGAATAGTTGCAGCATATGTTGCTATTTGAAATTGAAACACTTGTTGACGCCAATATATATGCATATGGTATGGTAAAGCATTATGATTTTGTAGGCCTGGGGGAGAAAAAATACAGAAGACATTTCTTACTTTTTGCGATCAAGATTCAGAATTTTTAGAACATAAAAGGTAGAACTCATCTCTGTCCCTTTTCATTTAAATGTTCAGTGAAAACTACATTCCACAGATTGGCCATTCATCAATGGAAAACGTCAATAACAATGATACCGCGTGGTCTACACGACGTTAAGTATACAAGGTCACCAACCTTTCACCTCACTTTACTTAACGAAAGTTACTGAACATATACTAATTGGCGTATAGTTATAACCTTAAACGTTTGTCTGATTTCAATCTTTTAACTACTTGCCTATACACATACATACCCACACAATTATATTGGACTTTGCAGTCCTGTGGGGTCTGTTATCTTTGAATGATGTTGATTGAGTAACAAGAATACTCCTGAAAACAACCACACGTCAAAAATGAAAGTCTGAATTAGACCAAAAGTGTAATCTAGAATGGAAAACAATAGTAGAAATTACAAATAGGGGTTGAACTAAAATCATTTCCTTCCTTTACTCAGTTTTGTGCTATCTTTAATAAATTCCTGTATTTTGTTCTCAGTCGTGCAGAATTTGACTTCTTCTGTTATTAATTCCAGCTTGATTTGTCCTACGTTTTTTCATGTGCATTTGGTTTTTCAATTGTACCATCGCCGTATCCTGTTTTTTATGGTTCACCTCTTAGGTCAACCACCCATGCTTGATGACAATGAGTGGCATGGAAAAATTGGCACCACACGCACAAAGCAGTAAAGTTTTGGTTGATAGATTAAACAAGAGTCAACGACATAATAAAAATAGACAAGAAATGCACATGGAAATTGGATGGTTAGGTTGCTAGACTGCAAATATAATAGCAACAATGTACGGGAATTGAAACAAGAAAAACAGAGGACGATGTTGTAGACAAAAGTACACTCGGGACAGAAAAGAATCGAACAGTATGGAGAGTCGTTAACCAAGCATTGGGGCACATTAGAATAATGGCGATGACCACCTAAAACATGAGGCTGAATGCTGGAGATTCAATTATTATTATTATGTGTCACACAATTCATAAATATATGATAGCTAGCATCTACATATCACTATGATATAAATCTATAACAACTTTGACAACTGACAGTCATATTTTACTGTGTCGTAGATATAGATATACATTTATTACGATGTAAAATATCGGTGAAATCAAACAGCCACACATTACTATGCACTGACTGTATGTCTTGTCACGTGCTCGACGAAACACGTCTTACAATGTATTTACGCAATGCGTGACTGTTATTTTCACATACACATGGGAATGGTGATGAGTAAATGAGACAGAATCTGAACAGTTCAGAAAGAAACTAGTCTAGACCGAATCCATCAGTTTTATAATAGTATCCACGAAAAACCTAGAATCCTCGCCAGACAGCAACGCATTAATTGACAGTGCAATATATATTAAAATCAGCAATAACAACAACGCCCATTTCCTCTTAATTGTTTACTTGACTATGTTTATATTCTGATAAAAACAATGCTTCAATCATTTGTGCAGGATTTCTCGAGTAATGCCTGACTTGAACATTGTGTGACTTATGTTAGAATGCTACACGTGAGTTTTTTTTAACATGTGCTTAGCACATATAGCAGTAGCAATATATCATGTCAAAAATCCACCCACACAATTACAATGAAAACGCATTTGTCAAAAATATTGAAATATTGACAGTTATTTTAATACCTCTAATACCTTGTAAGACACAATACATTTGTTTTTCTCCCCATATGTCATCAAGCAAACTTTGAAGATATTGGGATATATCCGTGCCCCACTGTCCCTCAACAGTGTTGATAACATGCCCTTAAACAAACAAATGCTATTGTCACTGTATTTTATTGTTTGATATTGTCTGAACTGAGTATTCTGATAATAACATGACATATCTAATATGTAGAAATAAAGAAAATGACAATATTGTTATTTTTGGTGTCCTACATTAAATCATAGACAGTATAGTAGGACGTCAATATTTACTTGCTCATTAGAATATTCCAGCCCAGCTTGCGTTGCGCATCCGGCGTTTCACTTTGATGTTTACCGCAGTTGCGCGTCCTTCCTACTATACTGTCTATGATTAAATTGTCTAATTTGCGGGGTAGTTGTTTTTTGAAATCACCATTGTCGAAGACTGTTCTGTAGTCTGACGTCACATTCTCTCACAGTGACTTTTTTCGTGCATATAGTGTATCATTCTCATTTGTAAATTTCCGGCGAAAAAGTAGTAACATTAAATGGAAATGCTAATCATGAAGTAGATTTCTAAGCTCAGCGATTCGTAGGTTCTATAGCCTACATATATTGATATGCGTGTAGTGAAAGTCTTTTTGCTTTCTAATATATTATTATAGTGAAGATTAGATTTCATTCCAATAATTAGACAAACTATTATGTGCTATATAGTATAATACAGTTTAATTTACGTCTAAATCAGCCAGTGTATTTCAGTTGGTGTCAGCATCATTCAAATGTCCGTTATTTCATCCTCAGTGTACACAGCACAGCACAGTGTGTTTTGTGAGTATGTACACTACTAATAATAATGATACTATCAAACTACGAATGAATATTGTATTTAACTTATGACTGGTATCAAGAATCGCGAAAATATTCAGAATTATTGGGAATTATTGGGAAATCGATTGTTTCTCTTTTTCAACCTATACAATTGAAGTGATATACTGTAACGGAATTAGTGACTATGTTCTAAAGGGTCTACTTCGTACACAAATGTGTTTTTTTTTTTATATATTGCATATTGTGACTTTAGGAGATGATAATTACATTGATATGCCACACACATGACGTGTACACAGCGCATGTTATGTTTAAGCAATCATATTGATTTACAGAGTTCTGCAAAGAAAACAGAGGCCAAAACGGAGAAGTGTATTACCGTGTATATGATATATAATTCTATCTTTACGTTCCCCATTGTCATTATACATTTGTTTATGTGGCAATTTTGGC